CCACCAGAGGCCCATCTTTGTATATTCTTAAATATATTTTAGTTGAGCAAAGTTGTGGTTTTGCTGAGTAAAACCAAACACCTTCCACTTTTTTTTCCACTTACAATCCAACCTTTTTTTTTCCATCTCAGGATGGTCTTGTTAATGTAGGATGGATGGACTGTGCCACCCAAGACAACCTTTGTACAAGTTTGGATATCACAACCAGTACTACTGCCTATTTTCCTCCTGGAGCTACTTTAAACAACAAAGAGAAAAGTGGTATTCTGGTATGAATTGCTTTAACTCTCTTACGTACAAATGTGCAGACACACATTCAAACAGTATGCATCACTTTGTAAAAAAGGAGCAAGTAAAATCAGTTTATATCATCAGATTGGAGAGCATTCATTTAAAATCAATAAGAATTCTGGAATTCTTTTTAATCTCACTTCAGTTGATTAAAGCTGCTATAAGGATTATTTATAAACCTTTATACCTCTAAACACTGAAGATATAATTTACATTCTTAGTTTAGATAAATTTTCACTGGTTTTCATTTATTTTGTTGGGAATATATGCTTTACCTCCCTTATTTTATGAATAAGGAGAAAAAGATTTAAGCTAGATGTCAAGGAACTAAGGTAAATCCTTGAACACCCAAAAAAAAAAAAAGAAAATGTATAACTATGTGTTGATTTTCCTTTGTTAACTGAGACCTTGACCTCTGCCCTCCACTCCAGACATGTATATACTACTGCCTGTTCAGCAGTTCCCTGGGACATTAATTGGTACCTTGAGCTTACATATTTATAATCATACTGACATTCCCTGGAGTCATTCTCTTTTTCTTCTACACTATATCCAGTTCATTGAGAAAATCTATAACTGTTTTTGAAGTTTTCCATAATGTACCTCCAATTCCATGAGATTATTCATCACTTCATAACATGTACAATAATTTACTTATTTCATTATTTTTCTCCCACATTAAATTTTAAATTTGGATTTTTCATTGATATATCCTAAATA